AAAAAACGACAAACACAAGTACAGAGTGATGTCAACTGACACCAAGGAACCAGATAACTGCCCTCTTGAAAATTCCAGAGGAATTCAAGAGGTACAACTCCATCAAAAAGACAACCACTAAAACAAAATGAAACCCTATAATTGGTACGACTCTATTAATAGCGTCTACAAGCTCAAACATAATCAAGTTATCTTAAAACCCGAAATTATTCACCTTCTATATCACCTGAACCGGGCTCGCAAGTTGACCTAATAATTGATAATGCATTAATGCTAATTAGAATCAGAGCATGTCTGGGATGTTTATATATTGAAGTAATACACCCTCTTAATCTTTCTCGTTGCTTTTTTATATTCTCTCAGCTGCCACCAATTCCTAGGAAAATTCTATTACAAGGCCCAACTTTTGTAATTGTATCAATATAAGACCTAGATTTTATTTGTTCTCAATAAAAAACTTACATTTTAAAATATTTTCAATTTAAAACATACTTTTTAGTTACTTTTCATTATAAGGCCCAACTAACTTTATTTTTGACATAAATATGTGAACAAACTATTATGTGAACAAAAATATTATTATTGTTTTTTCTTGTAATTTATATTTTACATACTTATAATAAAAAAAATAATAAATATCTTTAGTAAAATTTCTTTAATAAAAAAATTAATCAATATATATTATATTTATACAATAGTTTAATAATGAATATTTTGAAAAATTGATAAGTAAATTTAAGAGTATGTAATGGAAATATTATTTTCATTAATAAACTAAATATGTACTATTTTTTGCAGCTAAAAAGAAAAGTCCAAATCCTGAAAAGCTAAAATGAAGGCAATATTATTAAAATATTAATACAAGTGTAAGCGTCCTGGTCCGGTTCGAACGGATAGATCTGGGTCCTTGCCGGTAGAACGCCGGAAACCTGCAAATAACTCTCACACCGGGGGTTGTGTCCGTTGAAGAGCCTCCGATGCTTAAGTCAGTATGTGTATGAGTATACTGAAGTGAAGTATGGAAAATAGAATGTGTTCAAGGAGAAAGGCTCACCCCCTTTATATAGGGGTGAGATACCTGCCCTAATAGCTGCCCGGATAAGGATGAGCTGGCTGCCCAAGCTGCCCGTCCGTACTCTGGCACGCCGCGCACATGTCAGAGGTGGCGCGGGGCGTTGGGAGCTGTCAGAGGTGGTTATGGCTATCACCCAATACATTTTCAACACGTGTCCCCCCTGCACATGGGGTAAGTATTCTCCTGGGACTCAGTTGGAGGCTCTTACGCGCGCCCGTGATACACGCGCCTGACTAGGCCGACTGTTAGTTCCTCGAAGCGACCGACCTGTTGAGGTCGAATAGGTTGCTCGATCATGTATCTAGTCGAGCGATGGGTTGCTCGATCGTTAGTCTGGTCGTGCGGTGGACTGGTCGACCACCTGCCTGGTCGATTCCCTGAATGTTCGATCTTCCCGCCTTCTATATCACCTGAATCGGGCTCGCAAGTTGACCTAATAATTGATAATGCTAATTAGAATCAGAGCATGTCTGGGATGTTTATATATTGAAGTAATGCACCCTCTTAATCTTTCTCCGTTGCTTTTTTATATTTTCTCAGCTGCCACCAATTCCTAGGAAAATTCTATTACAAGGCCCAACTTTTGTAATTTTATCAATATAAGACCTAGTTTTTATTTGTTATCAATAAAGAACTTACATTTTAGAATATTTTCAATTAGAAATTAAGATGGAGGGGCCTGCTTTCACTTGGTGCAACAATCGAGCAATTCCTGATTTGATTGAGGAAAAATTGGACAGGGCTTTTGGCTCTTGGGAGTGGAATCAACAACATCCAAATGCCTTTGTTTTGAATAAGATCAGAAGTGCCTCAGACCACACTTCCCTGCTTATGGATCAAGGTCTTCCAAGGGAGAGGAAAAAATCAATGTTCCATTTTGATAAAAGATGGCTTGGCATGGAAGGCTGCAAGGAGGTGGTTGAAAAGGCTTGGCATATCGAGGTGCAAGGTACCCCTTTGTTCATACTGAAAGAAAAAGTCAAGAATATAAGATTAGCTCTCCTCAAGTGGAGTTCTGGTTTTCAAACTCAAAGGCAGAAAACAATAGCCACTCTGAATGCTAAGCTGGAATCTCTTAATGAGGATAAATCAGTCATTGATTGGGAGGAATGAGAGACTACTAGGAGAAATCTGAACATGGCTCACAAGCAAGAAGAGATCTATTGGCAGCAAAAAGCAAAGTCAAAATGGCTGAAAGATGGGGATGCAAACACGAGGTTTTTTCATGCTTTAACACTCCAAAGGAGAAGAGGAAATGCCATCACGAGATTAATCTCCCCTCAGGGTCTTATCTTTACATCCCAGAGAGAAATTGAGAAACATGTTGAAGAATTTTACCACAATCTCTTTTCATCAGAGGGTTGTTGGGGTGGAGACTCCATTCTGCCACTGATCCCTTCCACAATTACAGATGACATGAACCGTGCTTTGCTGAAGCCAGTGGAAGAAGTAGAAATCAAGAATTCTCTGTTCAATCTCAACCCTGATAAATCCCCTGGAGAGGATGTAATGACTGCTGTTTTCTACCAACAATTTTGGAGCATCATCAAGCAGGATCTTATTGCAGCTGTCCTCAGTTTTTTCCAAACAGGTATGATGCTTAAATATTGGAATCATTCTGTGATTTCATTGATTCCTAAGTCCCTGAATCCAGAAAGCATATTTCACTTCAGACCCATAAGTCTTTGCAGTGTGGTTTATAAATTAATTTCTAAAATTTTAGCCCTCAGACTCAAAGCTTGTTTGACACACTGCATTAGTGATTTCCAAGCAGCCTTTATTGAGGGCAGACAGTTAGCTGATAATGTAATCATAGCCCAGGAAGCCTTCCACTTCTTAAACATGCATAATTCTGGCCCAAATTTCTTCATGGCCTTGAAGTTAGACCTCATCAAAGCCTTTGATCGAGTTGAATGGATCTGTCTGAAAAAGATTATGCTGCAAATGGGCTTTCACATGGATTTTGTTAAATTAATTATGTGTTGTGTCACTTCTGCCACCTGTTCCTTCAAAATAAATGGCTCTCAGAGTGGATATGTGACACCTTCTAGAGGAATAAGGCAAGGGGATCCTCTATCCCCTTACCTTTTTATCATTGTTGCTGAGTTGTTATCTGCACTAGTGGTTAATTCTATTAATGAGGGATTGCTGAAGGGGATGAAAATTTCAAGAAATGGGCATGTTCTCTCTCACCTTTTGTTTGCAGACGACTCCTTGTTTTTCTGTAGGGCTGGTACTGATCAGGCAGCCATAATCATGTCTTTGTTGCAACAATACAAGCTGTTCACTGGGCAAGCTGTTAATCTTCAGAAATCATCCATTTTCTTTAGTAAAAACACTCCAAGGCATGTTCAGAGTTCTATTGGCTCAACTCTAAATGGTATCTCTATTCATAGATCAACCAGGTACCTTGGGTTACCCCTAGGGATTGGCAGTCAAAAAAAGAAGTCTTTGATTACATTCTCTCCTCTGTTAAGAATAAATTGATGAGCTGGAAGTCTAAATTTCTGAGTCCTGCAGGGAAAGAGGTCTTATTAAAGGCAGTGATCCAAGCTTTGCCTGTGTTTTCAATGACATGTTTCAAGTTACCACTTACTCTTTGTTCAGAAATCACTAAGCTCTGTGCTCAATTCTGGTGGAGATCAGACACTGATACTGAGAGAGGAATCCATTGGAAAAAGTGGAGTTGTTTGGCTATTCCTAAGCTTCTGGGAGGTTTGGGATTTCATGATTTGGAATTATTTAATAAAGCTCTCATTTGCAAGCAGTTGTGGAGGGTGGCTTCAAATCCAAACCTCTTGCTGAGCAGATTGCTTAAGGACATGTATTTCCCACACTCCTCTATTGTTCATGCTCAGAAAATCCAGGGGGG